GTCAACACAGGACGTGCACACGAGGAGGGCACAGGGTCCGGGACGGTCAACACAGGACGTGCACACGAGGAGGGCACAGGGTCCGGGACAGTCAACACAGGACGTGCACACGAGGAGGGCACAGGGTCCGGGATGGTCAGCACAGGACGTGCACACGAGGAGGACACAGGGTTCGGGACGGTCAGCACAGGACATGCACACGAGGAGGGCACAGGGTCCGGGACAGTCAGCACAGGACGTGCACATGAGGAGGACACAGGATCCGGGGCGGTCAGCACAGGATGTGCACATATGGAGGACACATAGGCCCTGGGACAAGCACCTATGCCCAAGGTTAAAGAGCCACCCAGGCAAACAGTGTGGGGCCACACCTTCACTGCCACTTGCAGCTGTTCCTGAGATGCAGGGACTGCCTTCTCCCAGGACTGGTCCTCAGCCACTTGACTGTCCTGAAAGAAGCCAGCAGCCCCAGGATAACCAGGACTGAGGACATGACACCCTGGACAGCTGTGCACCCACTCTTCACTTATTGATAGAGTTAGGCTCTAAACCAGGTTGTTATACAAAAATCAATGTGCAAAAATATAGAATGACCACACCAGATCACAACAAGAGGATGCCAAATCACAGCATCACATAACCACCAAATCATATCATTGCATAACTGCCAAGTCACATCATCATGGACTCGCCAAATCATAGCATCATAAACTCGCCAAATCACATCATCAAGTAATTGCCAAATCACATCATTACATAAACTGCCAAACTGCATCATCACATAACTCCCCAAATCACATCACCATGGAACTGCCAAATCACAGCATCATATAATCACCAAATCACATTACCATAAATGCAAAATCACATCACTCACCACAGAACCCCTCACCACATCATCATGTAACCCCCAAATCACATCATCACGTAGCCAAGAAATCACTTCATCATGAAACTGCCATATCAAATCAAGTAACCATTAAATCATATCATAACATACATAACATGTAACTGCCAAATAAAATCATCACAGAACTGCCAAATCATCACATCATCAGGTAACTTCCAAACCACAGCATCATGTAACATTGTATAACTGCCAAATCACATCATGTTACACTGTATAACTGTCCAATCAACTGAGAACCATACCTCAGCCAAGTCGACATTAACCGTCACCATCATTACTCTCACTTCCCACCTCAGCACATGTTGCTGCCACATACATATTGTTTATATGCAAAATAGTGGGACTGATAAATGCAAAGAGTCAGATAACAAAATACTCAGTAAGTGAGGGGCAGCATACATGTTCTACTGAGAATCCGTGCCCTCTTTCAAGCGGCCACCTTCACTGCCCCACCTAACTACACATTTGAAGTAACCAAAGGGCCCCTCACCCTGCCTGATCCCTATAGGCTGGACAAGTAGGGAAGGATGCCTGTCACACCAACCCTAGACCCCACATCTCCTCACCTTCCTGAGAACAGACCAGGCTGGAGTGGCCAAGGAGTGGAAAGGGACCCTGGAACCGCACCTGCCCACTACAGCACTTGTTCTGTTTTTCCTTCCATACCACTTTTCATAGTCTCTGTGTGTGTACCATCAAATCATATCTGACTGGTACTGGAGGAGATTGTCCCTCCTTCTCCAGCAGAGCATCTGGTGGATTCAAAATGCTCACCCGTGGGATTGCATTGCAGCTTCTTGCCACTAGGCCACCAGAGCTTCCTTGGTGTGGACGCTTAACAAGTGTGACTGAGAACCAAAGCATGAGGGGTCCACGCCCTCCTTGAAGCCCCTTGGAGGAAGGACCTGGCTGTCACCTGTCACCTCTGAACAATCTACCACCAAAGTAGAGTCTTCTACTCTGAGACCCATGGGGCCACCATGAGTTGGAACAGACATAGTGCCCACAGCCTGGAGCCGTCAGGAGATGCAAAACATTAACATTCATGGCAGCAAAGTGCTGCAAGGTTGGAGGTTCACATCCACACATAGGTGCCTGACAATGGCATTCCAAAAGCAGCCACTGAAAATGCTATGGAGCATCATTCAAGACACACATACAAGGGCATCGTGGATAAATCAGCTCGACAGCACCGACTATCTGCTGCCAGACAGACAGTGTCCCAGGAAGGCAAGTGAGGGTCTAGCTTACGGCAGCCCTGCTGCTGGTGGTGAGTGCCTGCAGGGGTGCAGGGCACTGCCAGCCTGCCCACTGATGCAGACCCACTGCCTTCATGCCGTGTGGCTCATGGGTCTTACTGGGACCTCCTCACTGACAGGCGTATGGCCCAGCGGGCAACTCTCACCTCATTGAAGTCGCCGATTCGGGGGATGTGGTTTTTCCTCGTCTTCCCCAGGATGGCGCCAGAATTTGAGATCACCACGGCTGTGTTCCACAGGATGTCCCCGTGTGAGCTGTCACGCTCCAGGATGGGTGACACCACCACCATGTCATGCTTCTCAGCCAGCTGCAGGGCCAGGGTGGGGGTCACAGCCAGGGTCAGACCTCCAACTGTAGGGACGGTGGGGACGAACCCTGGTGGACTTCTCAGGGTACACTTCTACAACTTTGCTTTATAATTCACCTTGGCCTTGAGACGTCCTTTGGATTTGCTGTGCCCAAGACTAAATGTCAGGGTGGTCCCAAGCCTCATGCTCAGCTGACTGAGATTCAAAGCCGTCGCCCACTGCTGCTCAGTGGAGTACAGCCCCAGGAGCAGAGATGACCAAGTGTTGCTGGCTGTGGGCTCCATGGTATGGCTACCAGGCCTTTCTGCACAGCACCTGGACATCATCAGGTGACAGGGGATGTCTACACTAGTTCTGCATCAGCGGGGACCAGATGGTTGCACAACCTTGGGGCTTTGTGCTCACCCATCCTCACTGCCCACCACCCCTGCCAGCCTGCTGCCCTCAGGAGACAGACCATCAGGACCAGTGGCGGCCAGACGGGCAGCATGACTATCTCTCTTCCAGCCCACTTGGTCTTCAACACTTTGTTCTGAGTGGTAGCAAAGGGCAGAGGCCGCACAGAGAGTGGTGGAGGGCAGTGTACTGTCCCTGGTCCACCTGTGCAGAGGTGTGAGGGTGGCCCACTGTCCCCAGCCCATCTCAGCATAGGTGTGAGGGTGGCCTGTTGGCTGGCCCTCTCCCATCTATAATAGGTGTCGGGGTAGCCTGATGGTCCTCGCCCATTCGCTGTGCCCGGCCCATCTCTGCTGCGGTGTGAGGGCGACCTGTCCCTAGCACATCTCTACATAGGTAAGAGGGTGGTCTGCTGTCCTCAGCCCATCTCTGCAGTGGTGTGAGGGTGGTCTGCTGACTCCCGCCTATCTCTGCAGACAGGTGTCCCCAGGCTGCCCCACCCTGCCGCTCAGTCTCCTCTGGGCTTGGGCTCAAGGTCTGCACTAGTTCCAGACCCCTCCCTTCCCTGTCCGTCACTCACACCTGCGTGGGGGTGGGGAGGTCCACTGCCTACCGCCCTCAGCTCTGGTGCTCAGAGGACCAGCTTCAGGCCCTGCACAATCACCGCTATTACTGTACTTCTCCCACGAGGAACCTGCCCACACACAATGCCACACACAGAACGTGCAGCAGTGACAAACAAATGAAATAAGCTCGTTCAGGTGTAGCTGGTTGGCAGAAACGCACAAAGGGTGCTTTATTGATGTAAAACACAGTAAAGCTCTGCTTTCAAAGCCCTGAGGATATTTATAAAACCTGACAAAGAGGCACAGAGCAGGGAAAAGGCACTCTCCCTGCAGGCGAGTGAGGCCTGCCACGCTCAGAAGCCCTGGAAGCAGCGGGTGTAAGTACAGCTCTTCTCTGGCCACCCCGGGGTTCTGTGTGGAAGCACACAGCCAGGTGGGCTGGTTCCCCACAAAGTGCCTCTTGGTGGGTTCAAACTGCTAACCTTTCTGCTGGCGGGCTAGTGCTTCATTTAACCATTTGTGCCTGTAGGTAGTTGTGCTTCTCACACAAAGGCAGCGTCCTCTGGCAGTTCGAATCCCCCAGTGGCTCCTCTGGAGAAAGGCAGGCAATCTCCTCTCATGACTTACAGCCTGGGAAACCACTTTGCAGCTGGAGGGTCAGCTGTGAGTTGGTTCTGGTGACTATGAGGTTGAGTAGGGATCACCCAACGCCCATGGCCCCTGAATCAACTCATGTCACAGCAGCAGAGGACTCAGTGAATAGCTGCCTCGTTTCTCTCACAGAACGCCAGTGGGTTCCAGCTGCTTGGCAGCCAGTGCTCCAAGCACTGCCCCACCGGGGCTTCTCATAAGAGCTGCACTGGGGTGCAGTCTTCAGCCTGCACCATGTACTGAGACAGTATACAGTGTGTGGTTTTGGTCATTTACAGAGCTGCCTGGCGTCACCATGGACCTGAGGTCATTTTCACGCCCCATGCCCTGGGCCAACAGCCCTTTGTGCCCTGCCCTGTGGCCCTGCCTGCTCTGGACACTTCATCCATATAGAGGTCTGCCTCCTGTGAGGGCTGAGTGAAGAAAGTCAGATCTACGTCTGCCCTCATGGGAACTGATGCAGCTCCAGGGACCAGAAAGGGCAAGGGGGCCTCTGGACAGGGACTCAGCATCCTCAGAACTCAGGGCCCCTGCAGAAGTCCCTGGTCCCCAGCTGGGCTGCAAACCCTGACCTGGTGGGGCTAGAGAGGCACCTCAGCCCTGATTCTCCATGACAAGTAAAGGGACACTCGATTGAGGTAGCAGGAAGCCTTCTCCTATCTGCTGTGTCTGGCCCTCTGCCCCTGGCCACTCTGCAGACAACAGGAGACACCCTGTAAACAGCCTACCTTCTGGCAGAATCTGGTGGTGGGCCCGTCCTCTGCTGACTCGGCAAACTCCGTCCATGGGAGCTTCTCTCTCGTGCAGAAGGCAAAGGGCATCGCTGCAATAGAGGACAGGCAGGCATGTGAGGGAAAGTGGGGGAGGGGAACAAAAGCCCTGAAGCCTGGTGTCCCTAACCACCCATGCACTGCACAAACCCACCCTCTGGGCTCCTTGGCTGAACTAGGGTGTCTGCCTCTAGTAAAAAACCAACAACAAAAACCCCACAATTTCAAACGCTGGAGCAAAAAGTGGTCCCAGTCAGCAGGACACAGCAGTGATCGGTGCCAGGCCTGAGCACAGCTGGTCAGGGCATCCTGAGCTAGTGAGGGACCTTTAGCACCTCACCATCCAAGCTGCCACTTCCTAGAGATGGGGGGGTTCTTCAGGTATGTGGGATTCTTCAGGTGTGGAAAGCCACCATGAAGACCGGGCACCCCAGGAAGAAGTGCATTCTTCCCAGGGTGGAACTTGTGATCAGTTTGTGATAAGCTGCTACCTCAGAGGTTGTAGCTGTTGTTGTTAGGTGCTGTTGAGTATGACTCATAGAGACCCTATGACCCTATGAACAACAAGTCTGAACTCTGGCCTGTCCCGTACCAGCCTCATGATTCCTGATACACTGAAACTCACTGCTGCAGTCACTGTGTCAATCCATCTTTTTGGGGCTCTTTCCTTTGCTGACCTTCCATTTTTCCAAGCATGATGCCCCTTTGCAAAGAATAGCCTCGCCTAGAATGATAGCCAAAGCTTCACCATCTTTGCCTCTGTGGAGCACTCCCTATGAGCATTCTGGCTACACTTTTTTTTTACAGATCATGGGATATTCAGTACTTTCCTCCAATACCACAGTTCAAAGCCATCAGTTCTTCTGTTATCCTTATTCATTGTCCAGTTCTCAGATGCACAGCAAGTGAATGAAGAGCCAATGATCTGAATCAGGGGCACCTTAGTCTTCAAAGTGACATTATTGCTCTTCAATATTTTAAAAGGTTGTTGATGTGTAACGTTGAGTCAGAACCAACCCATAGCTGACCCTCCAGCAGGTTTTCAGAGCCAGATAATTGCACAGGATGAGATTGCCCATCTTTCTCCCATGGAGCAGCTGGTGGCCTCAAACTGCATTCCTTCAGGACTGCATCATTGCTTCTTGCCATTAGGCCACCATAGCTCCTTTGAAAGGCTAACAGGTTCTAACTCAAGGTTATCATGAAAGAAATATCTGGCTACCTACATCCTTAAAGATGAAAACCAAACCATATGTCGATCCTGACTCACAGGAGGTTTCCAAGGCCATAATCTCAGAAAGCAGACTGGCTGCTTCACCTTTATCCCACAGAGCCACTGTTAGGTTTGAACCACTGACCTCTCAGCATCCAAATACCACCACGAAGCAAGGCTGTCTACTGTGCAACCAGGGTGTGCCCATAGCATGGTGTTACCATGTGTGCACACACTCATATATTACTATCTGCAACAAAGCACGCACACGCCGTTACAGACACATCTTAGACACAACCAGACATCTTGTACGATTGCACATGTGGATGAAAGTTTAGAACCACAATCTAATGGGGCGTCTTGGTAAATTGGCATAGCACAGTCCACAATGTTTTCTTTTTTATATGCCAGATCAGTCTTAAAAGCGTTTGAACATCTGAGACATGACTGATAGTGTTGTCCAGAACAAAGGAGAAAGAAAGCCAGTTTACGGGCTTCCTTGTCCCCAGGATCACAGCTTCACCTGTCCCGAGAATGGCGGCTCTGGATGGTGCCCGCCTGTCATCACTAACCAGACACTACGACTGCGCCAGGCAGGAAGCGGGTCAGAGCTGTTTTTCATAAGGTCGCTGGGGTCACAGCCAGCTCGACAGCACCCAACACCACACAACAGACAGACTCAGACAGGAAAGGATGAAAATGTGCACCAGAACCTCAGATTCTTCAGAAAAACAGACCTCATAGGCTTGTGCAAATGGGAAGACTCCCTGACACTCAAGTCCTAGGTTTCTCTTTAAACCTGGAGCCCAAACAAGTCTCTGAGGCCACCCTGCCCCTAAATCACAGAGTGACTCTCACAAAATGAACAAATATCACCCACAATCACTGCAGCCCCTTAATTGATCTACACGAGATGGAATGACTAAGGATTATTTCAGATCAGAAGTGAGACGTGGGGTAGGGGAACAAATGGAACCAGCTGGACGGGACGGTGCAGGCTCCTGCACCGTGAAGCAAGTGTCCCAGGCCACTGAACAATCTGTCTGGAAACTGCAGAGCAAGAAACAGAAGTGCTTTGTGAATATTCACCCAAGACCCAACAAAATATCATCTTAAAAAAAGGATAAAGGCAACTGCTCAGGGCTCTATCAGAGAAGATAGCATAATGCTTCTGCAGGCTGGAGGGCAGTGCTCCTGGTTGCAGCAGGCGCACCTCAGAAGTCACAGGTCGCATCTGTGACACTTACAGGCTCTGAGAATAAACACCCATGTCTTCATGGGTAACGTGCCGCAGTGTCGCTGATGCCCCCATTTCTCAGAAGGCAGTGGAACAGCAGAAGCTGGTGCTGTGCAGACGAGGTGCAAGAGCATGTGGTGGGCAGACTTCGCTTTGCTTCTCTCCACAGTGGACACATGATCAGTGACGGATGCAGATGTGTTTGTCACCTCACCATGCACACCTCCTTCAGAGCTTGTGCTCTTGGGAAGGGAGAGAAAGGGGCCCAGTGGGGTAGCCAAAAGGGGGAGTGGCTGGGAAGGGTCAGGGTTGAGAGAGTGGAAGGGAGGGAAGTGGAGGGAGAGGAAGGGGTTGTTGCTGGGGAGGCGGCTTAGAGGGGGGGATGGGGAAGGTGGAGGAAGGGAAAAAGTCAGGGGTACTGAGGGGGCAGGGGTGCAGTGAGGTATGGCTGGAATGGGATGGCCATGGAGGGAGATGAAGGGGGCTGAGGTAGGGGCTGAGGGTGCAGTGGAGAGGGGCTGAAATGAGGTGGGACAGTGGAGGAAGAGGAAGCAGGAAGCAGTAGGGGCTGGGGGCCAGGTGTTGGCCAGCAGGGGTGCAGCACCGTGGTGCATGGCTGAGAGGGGGTAAGGAGCAGCGGAAGGAAGGAGTTTGGCTGAGGGGCAAGGGCGCAGTGGTGGAGGCAGAGGCTGGGGTGCAGTGGGGGATGGCCAGGATGGGTGTGGTGAAGTGAGAGGAAGGGGGAAGAGACTGGGTGGCTGGTGACAGGTGCAGCAGTACATGGCTGCAGGGCAGTGGAGGGAGAAGAAGAGGGATGAGGCAGGAGCTGGATGACAGGGGTGCAGTGGTGTGAGCCTGGGAGGGGGTGTCAGGAGCCCATGCAGTGTCTCTCTCAATCTCACACACAGGACACAGACACTTGTACCCGATGGTGCCCTGACCCCTCATGCTTCCTGCCTCTCTAGTGAGGTGGGGCCTGCACCTCCACGGGAAGGCCTGGGTCTACCCTGGCCGTTATCTCTTCTCTTTCTCAGAGTCTCCTGATGTGGCTCCTCGAGGGCCCACTGACAATATCCTGAAGGGGATGGTGGCCACAGATCAGAAAGGACAGTGGGTCCTGCTCGCTGAGGCTCGTGGGCACACTGTGCACCAACCACGGTGACCCAGCACAAGTGTGGGGAGACACTCCACAGGGCTTTCTTTTACATTCTTCTCACTGTGGTGGAAATAAAACACAGGCAACACCAGCCGTCGCTATGTGTATCATCCAGTGACACTGCTTACAAGCTTCACATGGAGCACTTTCTCCCACCAAGGTTTCAATGGTGGAGTTTTTTTAGTTTGTTTTTTTTTATTTCTTTATTTTTCATTTCAATGAACATCTACAGAGATTTTGGAATTCCATTCATTCATTGTTG